TGTGCACTTGACCTGTATTTCACGCTTCCAAGCTTGCACCTTTCGTTGAGACAGATCTATTCCCATCAAGAAGGTCAACGCTGTCCCCAACCATGGATGGCCACGTGGACGTCGATGACATCTTGGAACATAGAGACTTGCCTATTCCCAAACCTGTTAGCAGGGGAAGACCACCCTAACCTATGAGGGAGTACCGGGTCAGATTCAGGCATCCCACACAACCAGAAAAAGATTGTTGGTTCACAAGATAGGAGTTTGTCAAGACAGCACCTCAGATCGTGGCAGAGTATAAACAAAGATTGAAAGGGAAAGCACTTGCGTAGAACCATCTCAGCCGACTTTCGAAGCTAAGGGGGATGGAATGCGAGGAATGAGCCCTCATGGGGGTCCTTATCAGACATACAAGTGTTCTGGGCTGCGGCCCCCAGCAACCCGTGCCCGCCCTAAGTGAAGGCGCGCCCGAATATCCAGCCGCGAGTCCGGCTTCGGCTTTTGGACGGTCGAAAAACCAAACAAAACTAGCCTACTTATCTAACCCTCAGTCGCGAAAACTTCACGGCCGACCTTTTCCCTCTTCCGTTAAGACCACAAATTGCGCGGTGTGCCCCGGGGGTGAGGCATTCTGGCCTGGGCAGGCATTGCAGCCACGCTGCTGCTTTGTGCAACACTGCGCTATGCAGGCAGGCTGGGGCACACGCAGGCACTGAGAGGTGAGAGGTGAGCTGTGGTGGCAGCGGCCGCATGGCGGCTAGTCGGGATGAGCGTGCCGGTAAGCGGGTGATGGCAATGGTCGTCTTCAGGTAGGAGGCGCATGTAGATGGGACACAAAGTGTGACGAGGGGAGGAGAGAGATCATACCTGGTATATGGAGGTGGTCGGCATTGGTGATGACGTCATGTACACCGGTCTTCAACTTCGATGTGATCCAGTCCCATGAACGTATATAGGATCTCTAGGCCGAGTTGTGTAGGCTGGGCGCTGGGTGCCAGACAGTAGGAGTGACATTGGATACAGTGTTGGTGTGACCTGAGAGCCTCGTATTGGCACTCGAGTTCATTGTATTGCTCTTATTTGGATGGCAACTTGGTGCATTGTGCTCTCTGCTCGGTACATGACTTCTCTGGACTACTTAGTGATTTTGCAACTTGAATTTCTGTCTATCGCTCTCGCTCATATTCCTTGCAAAAGCATCAATGCCAAGGAAAATGTGTTCGCGGGTAGACTACACAATGGTACTCCGCACGTTTTGAACGCGCACACACAACATGTTGCACGCGCATTCGAGAGCCCCAAAAAATACATTTCACTGATTCCAGTCATTAGTATTATTTATTTTATTTATTTTCTTTTTTTTCCCCTTCTGAAGCATAAATCGCAAAGAAAATCTATCGGCGGGAAGACTACACAAGAGTACAATGCAGGTCTTGAACGTGCGTACACGTACTACGCTTGCTTTTTTCTTTTTAAGACTTGGGCTATATTCTTCTCCCAATTTCACCTTCCACTACTTACCGACCACTACTACTCAGCCTATACGGGGGACCCCTGCAAGCATAGCTGCCTCTCACAACTAAGGGGATGCATGTTGCCTCCCGCCCTAATTGCGAGTGGTCAGGGAGTAGGGTGGAGCTGCCGGTGGGGGGGCCGGCTAACGCAAAGACTGAGCATTGTGAGGCGCAGGTACACGACGGGTTTTGCACACATTCAAAAGAAAGACGAACCTGCTGATAAAAAACCTGCCACCACATTTGAAGAAGAAGAAAAAAACAAAAGCAACAAAAGTGAAGTCTGGAAAGCAAGCGAGTTGAATGGCCGAAGTCTTTCACTCATCCCTTGAACTACAAGTACCAGAGAAGACTAGAAGCCACAGTGCAATTGTTTGCCTCTTCACCGTGAGGACGGTCCAAACAAAACCACCAGCGGCGCAAACACGCTGCACACACCAGTCAGTCGTTCACAAGATTGTCATGTCCAGCCACTCCTTAACAATGAGCCTGCTCCAGAAGACTAACGCTTCCAAGAAGATCCCACAACTCCACCCTTCACAACATTTCCCTCTACTCCTGTATATCTCGACAGTGTAAAAATTTAAATATTCTTATCGACGTTAACTTATCGTTGTTTTTTGAACTTTTTTCCCTTTGTGTGACAAAAAGCTGAAGATAAGTAAGGTCAAATAAGTAGCCATAACAATCGCCCACTCCATAATTATCACCGTAAACCTGCTTGCACTAGCGATTTGTTTACACTTGTGGTGCAATTTCAGGTCACATTTTACTACATACGCTGCAGCAGCTGGCTGCAAGATTCACACAACTTATATTTTATTTACGCTACCGCATCGTCATCGGGCATAATTTTTTCCAAAGGTTGTATGTGACAATTTCCAGTCTTACAGCTGGTCCGCTTGCCAGAGCAGATACTTCACAAGCGCCTCTTTCTTTCCGTGGTGGTGAAGTTCATTGATCCCACTGAAAACATTGGAATTGTAAGTGATCCCTGAACGTGCAAATCCATTCTCTCTCAATCTTTTCCCTGAGTGGTATACTCTGAACTGCCCCCCCTGTAATTTCCGATGTCACGTAGTGTACCAAAATAGTGTAGAGGGGGACGGGGAGGAAGAGTCCAGAGGGGATAAGTGAGGAAATGCCCAGAGGAGGGGGACGGGGAGACGGAAGCAGGGAGGAATGACGGGAATGGGGGGGGCGGACAAAGCTTTACCACAGAGGTGGGAGGCAAGAAGGGGTGGGCAATAGAATCAGATCAATGCGTAACAGGGTGCCAGCAACACCCCAATACAGGCAAGAGGTGCAAGAGAACATTGGGGTGTGAAGGCGCAGGAGTGGGGGAAAAGCAGCTTAGAAGCAGTACAAGGGGAGAGAGGGGGCAAACGACTAAGTGGAGGGGACAGAAAAGCGAGCAAGGCAAGAGCATCAGCGTTTGAGGATGGAGCGAGGGGAGGAAACATGTAGTGGATAGAAAGGCAGGCACCACCGTAGGTGCTTCTGGAGCGTGGAGGACCCGAGAGAGAGAGAGAGAGAGAGAGAGAGAGAGAGAGAGAGAGAGAGAGAGAGAGAGAGAGAGAGAGAGAGAGAGAGAGAGAGAGAGAGAGAG